GGGGTGGGTGACTGCTTGTCCTTCAGGCTGAAGGAGAGGCTGCCTCTCTTCCTGCCTTACTCTCTGAGGGATTTCTGTGTTTATTTTAACTCATATCCAAATATGTTTACCCTTCTCACGTCAGTCTTACCACTTCGGTAGCGATAGTACCACTTGGCACGTGTGTTCAAGGAATTCTCTAGTTTTTTATTGGCTCTGGCTGCTGCATTAAAATGACTTACTTTCTAAAGCTGCTTTCAGACAAACTCAGAGATAAGTAACTAGTCCTTCAGACCAACACTGCAAATCCTCCTAAGTAACATGCAGGCTGCATTTAAGAATGTTTGACTTCTGACAAAAGCCAAAACACACTCTGAATTATTGACAGGTTTCGGCTTTGGGTTTTGTATTCTGCAGAAAATTTACAGGGAAATCGATGTGGATCGATCTGGTACCATGAATTCATATGAGATGAGGAGAGCACTGGAAACAGCAGGTATTTGTATTGGTCTGTCTCTTTTTTGGGATTGTATCAATTTCAGGCTGGGTTGATAGATGCTGACTAGTCTCCTGTATATCACTTGTAAGCTGAAAAATCATGTGTTCCCAGATACAGGAAAGGCCTCTGTTTAATCTGGATGCTCAGCTTGGGCTCTTGTCTTTGTGTAGCAGTGTCTTGCTACACAGGCGTACTAAAAGCATCTCAAAGGAGTGACAGGTTTGCAATTACTTTCTTTAATGAACAACTTTTGGAGAAGCACAAATAACTGCAACATTCTGGTCTCATAACAGTATACTGTTGTCTTTCAATGCGTCTCTCTGGGTATATGTGTGTTTGGTATAAGCCAGTATAACTGGGGTACTGTGACCTAGGGAATGGAAGAAGTGTCCTGACACTGCTCACAGGATGCATTAAAAGAAGATTCACTTTGCTACTGTAACTACTGAAAAGCAAATCTGAGTTATGATGGTGAGTGAGGGGTGTATCACAGGGCTATACAATACCAAATAAACTTACTGAACTTCTGGGGCCGTCTTAGTGTCCACATTTGGGCTCTCTGGAGCTTTCCCCTCCTGTCACCACATAAGATGAGGCGGCCATTTGTTTTTGTCCCAAAGTTTAGATGCTCTTTGGAAATAAGAGAACCATTTGCCTACAGAAAGTCACTGCTTCATCTTGGGTCTCAGTGAGCCAAATCTGGCAGCCACCTCGTCACCCAGGGAAGGACCACAAGCTGAAGCAATTGGCCATGTCATGTAAAAAACCAGTAGTACAGGTGTGAGAGCACGTGTAGCATGAAGAACACACATAACCTAGTCACAGCTCTGAATCACTCAAGTACAGAGGGGGTTGTTGGGAGTTTCCAAAATTGAGTAAACATTCTTAACATTTGAGAATTTAACCAAAAGTAGCTGACCGAATTTCTGGCAGTGTATAAGGCTGGGGTTTTTGTTAGTTGGAGCTTTTTGCATTTTTTTTTTCACCTCTCTTTTAAATCTTTGACATTTTATTTCTAGGGTTCAAACTGAACTGTCGGTTACATCAAATCATTGTGGCTCGTTTTGCTGATGAAGACCTCATCATTGACTTCGATAACTTTGTCCGGTGTTTGATTCGACTGGAAACCTTGTTCAGTGAGTACATGCTTCATAACCAGACAGACTCTGTTGCTTTGTGTTTTCAAGTCCAGGATAATTTATTCAGAAAACTTTGTACTGGAATCAAAGCAACTTCAAAGCTGAGCTATAAATTCAGCAACCCAATCTGCACACTCCTCCTAGATCTAGGAATCAGCCTTTTAGGCCAGGTTGCTGAACTGGAGCCAGACAGTCTTCCATGCAAACAACTAAATGTTGATTTAAAAACAAGAATCAATCTAAACACTTATAGACTGACAAATAATGTTAATATTACAGACTGAAGCATTAAAAAGGTTCAGTCTCATTCTTGCACCTGAGCATGCAGTGACTTTAGAGTGGGCCTTTCTGGTTTGCGTGCATACCATTGTCATAAATTTTAGAATCCGGGACTAAATTTCTTTTTGATCCTGAAGCACAAGGAAGGGAAGGCTTTCCAATTAGTTCCCATATTCATCCTTGTCTGTCATCTCTTTGTTACCACAGAAATGTTTAGAAAACTGGATACTGAGAAGACTGGAACAATAGAATTGAACCTCATTAATGTAAGTTCATTTAGCTCTAAAATATTTGTTGTCTTCTTGTTTTGAGGCGAGGGGGAAGGAAGGGCTTAACAGTAGAAACTGTCCTGTTCCATTCTGACTGATATGGCTGGTTATATGTATTTACATATATGCTGGATTTATATAGCTTGTCTATTTATAAGCAGCCTTAGGTACATTTTAAAAAGGGGTAACCATTCTTATGTCACACTGTATTCTCTTAACAAGCAGGCCAGGTTACTCAAGCCTCATGCCACTTACATACTAGCCAAAATGACTGCCAGTATGCCTGCTTCTTTCCTGTCTTTTCTGTCAACAAGGTAAAATGTAGGTGCAGTAGTGATTCATGGTATTGACCACGTGTGCTTCTTTCTGCACCACATGTGCCCTATAGAAAGGACTAAGGAGAAAACTGTTCCCCTACATGTGTTCAACTTGCTTATTACCTGAACATAACTTATTTCTGGACCTATATGAGGAATGTACAAATCATCCTAAAACTCTGCGTTAAATGAGATACAAATTGTTCAGAAAAGATCCTAAAATTATTTCTGTAGCAATAGGCTTTCTTCATGCTACAGGTATTCTTACTAAACTTAACCTTGGACCATTTTTCCCTCTCTCTTTATAGTGGCTGTGCTTTACTGTCATTTGAGCCATTGCCATCAGCTCAGGAGAACTCAGAGCAACATGATTAGGTGAAGATAATGAAGCAAACATACAAGCAACATCCTAACGTGAATGTGCCTTAACTTTTATGCATGGCAGATTTTGCACACAGTTATAAAGAGAAAAGTGTTCTACTTAAACAGAAGAATCTGCAACCTCATTTTTATAGGTCTGACAGTCTTTACTACTATATATCTTCTGTACAAAAGCTTTAATTTAGTATAAAACCTCAGTGCAACCCTTGAAAATACTGCTTTGCTAATAACTGTGCGTTTAAGGTGTTTTACATAACTCCTGGAAGAAAGCTCATTAGAGCTTGACAGTCTGGTTTAATAAGTGCTTTTTGAGTAACAGCTCCATTCCAGCCTGCGTATCTGAAACTAGAAAAGAGATGGTATTGCATGTGCCCAAATACAGGTGTTTAGGTAAGGTAGGGGTCCCTTATATGCTTTCTGTCAAGCCCTAGTATTATTGTGATTAAATATTTGTTGAAGAGTTTGAGTAACAAGTACATGTTTGGTCAAACTGAAGGACAAGTCTCACCATTGACGTGCCTGTAGCAGGAGGCTGTTGGCAACCAGACTCTTCTGAGAGAAAGCCTATGCTCTCAGGTGGAATCTCGATTTCCTGTTATTTATCTTCCTTTGAAATACAAGAAAATATTTAAATAAAAACAGTAGAAAGAGTTTGCAAGACTGTTGTTCCTTCTACAAGTAAGCAATAGATCATTACAGAGCAGCTGCAGAGCTTTCCTTGTCACGAGCAGAGCATGTTGCCTCTTAAAGGGGGAAAAATGGCATTCCAGAGCTAACTAGGCACTGACAGACACTCTGGCTCTCTGTCAGTTAATGAAATGCTAGATAGTCTAATACGTTAACGTTTGAAAAACTTAAAAGTTTCCAGAAAAGTTACTTGATACTATATACCCCATATACAACCTATTAAAATCATGAGGCTGTGAACACAAGCAGATTGCTGCTTCCAGGAGTTCTGACTTAGTTAAGCTTGCTCACCTGAGGAATTGTGTCCCCTGCTTTGTACAAGTTCTTGTATTTATAGGCATCTTTTCAGAAAGCAGTAGGGACTGACCTAGTAGGAAAACATGAGCCTAAAGGGTGAAATTTTATTTCATAAATACCTTATGGTTAATAGAGAGAATTTGATCCTCTCTATTAAATAGTGTTGATTATCAAATTGTTATTCCCAGATAAAGGACAGTTTCATGGCAAAGGCTTTAACTGGAAAGTACATGTACCAAGGTTTTTTTAAGTACGTCCCTTAGCTTTTAAAGGTTAACAACAGTTATGTGCAGCTTAAAGGCAGTAAGATTGTGTTAAACAAACGGGGGAAGAGGCTTCAATTTAACACAGAACGTAGCTGAATGTTAGTGTAATGTATAACAGCCATATGTCTTACTGGTAGCATTTTCAGATGGTTTAATAAAAACTTGATACTAAAATACCCAGACTTAAAGCTTAAGAGGAGACAAAAGTTTAATGGTATCACAGTCAAGTAAAAAGTAAATTGTCAAGGACTACAGAAAGTTTCTACACTTAGTTTTCAAAGTACAAAATGCAATAAATACATGAGGCTCTTTGTAAAAAGAGTAATCTAAAACTACATTGTCTGTTACGGCACATAATACTTTGAATACATGGAATTCCTAAGATGCTACAGCATTTCTAAAAGTTATTGCTTAATGGATTGGTCACGCAGTCGTCACTGTTCAGATGCACTTCAGTTTAGCTTCTTTAACAGACATTCTGCTTCCAGCATTTGGGTGCTGTGCACGTACTTTATTTTAATTTCTCCCATCTGCAAAAAGCCTTGGGATAAATTTGGACACAGCAAAGTCCTCTGTTTCATGATGATTCCTTCAATGGTAAATTGAAAAGGTCCTTGTATTTAATGCAGAAAAATGTGAAATTCATTTCTGCCATGTTTGAAGAAATCAAGAGTGGGTACTTGAACATAATGGCTTGCTTAGACCAAAGGCAGCAGACTTTCATTTGCTTATAAGCATTATTTCATCTTCTAGAATGCCCTCATCCATTTGCTAATGCATCAATCCTTCATTTGTTTTCAAAGCACATTCTTCATAGCTTTCAAATTACATTGTCATTTAAATAAGTCTTATGATATTGGAACCAACACAAAATGAAATATTTTTTTTAAGTCATCCATGATTAGTACTTCAAGGATCTGGCTTCTGTACTATTTCATGCCAAGCTTCTTTGTCTAGGTTTAATCCTTGGATACAGCTGAGGGTAAAACAGAAATGAGATTTTAAATTTTAGTGCTTTAAAAGGTTACTTATTTTGAAAGAAAAAAAGGAAAGAAAAACCTCTCTTTGGTGCTACAATTCTAATGTAATCTCTAGTAGCAAAAGCATGCTTATAAAAAACACCCAGAGCACTAACATATAAATTTAGCATTCTTAGGCAAGCTTAAAAATACTAACCATGTCAGTACAAAAGGAAGGTATTGAACAGCATGTAATTCAGTACCTTCAGCTCTACCCAAATGGATGGGCTAGGAAAAGCATGTGGCTTTGTAAGTCAAGAGACTTTTGTGTTCAGTGAACTATAGGATTTTTCCCCTGCTTTATAAATGGAAATAGAGAGGTATTAAAGCCTGGTTTACTTTCTCTCAATGCCTATCAGCCTTTACATATCTATAGCTTTGGGCAAGCTGGAAACATCTGGCTGCATAAGGACCCTAGAACTGTAGGAGCTGTGCTTTAGTTAGGGCATAGTGGGTGGCCAGTTAAATTCATTTAACCATCTGGCAGTAAATCAGTAGCTGCCACCCTGTGGCCCTTGAGCTATGTGCTATTCTCACATTCTGGCTACACACAGAGGTAGACAGCCTCAGCTGCAGGGTGACGATTGATGGGACACAGCATGCAGCCCTGCTGAGATGCTTGGGAAGCTCTTGGCTCCCTCTTGCAAAGGGCTGTGGGAACAACTACTGCTCTGCAAAGCATGGCTACTGACATATAAAAATAGAAAGATACACTTCATATAATAAGGAAAGATGAATCCTCCCTGCTCTAAATGGCAATGCATATCTACATGATATCCCTTATCTTAAAGATGCCCTCTTCTCTCTTCAACCAGACTCTTCCTCCTTTTTCATAGTCAGCTAATGATTAAGGGAAGACCAACAACTTCACTCAAGAAGTTTGTCTCTGCCTACTACGATTTCACAACTAACAGAGATGAAGTCAGGTAGTTGCAGTAGCATAACACCCCATAGTGTTAAAAAGATTTCATTTGGTATTAAGAAGTCAGTATTTCAACAGTATTATCTTATTTGGATTCAGTTTTAGAGCTCTCACACAGCTTAGGGAGCTAGTGAGTCACTAGAGGTAGAGTACTGATGCAGATAATTTCATCCTTGTTTTTATTCAGTGCACTTAACTGCAAAAGGATAAAGCAATTGTGATAAAAATACAACTTAATATATGAATATATTAAACTACCAAACACTTTCCTCTGTGCTGAACATCTTAGCCTAGATTTCAGCTGCTATATTAAGAGTCCAGTAGTTGCTTTTGAAAATCACCACAATAGTTTGGTAGCAGTACTAGAACAACTGAACAGACACAAGAGTGTATCAGGTAATATTGGGCTTGGGAGGTTTTCCCCAAAGGTTCTGTTTGGGCTGTGTTATGCTTAAAAGGATGAGTTGAGATCCCCTGTTTAAGCTGTAGTGCCATGTGCTTTTTATTGCAGAAACACAAACACTCCTTGTGTTCTCGCATGCCTGTGCTCACGCTGGGTGTGCAAGCTTATGAAGTAGCAGCACATGCACAATTCACCCTGGGGCAGGAAAAACCGCTGCCATTTCTCACCTTTCTGACCTTACTGTGCAAGGCTGATGGCTGCTCTCAATTTAAACATGTTTGTTTGGAGAGGAAAAAACTGAATAGAAGTACTATGTTAGGGAGAATTTTACAGTACATTGTGGGTAGGACAGATCTGAAAGTTACAAAGAAATGAAAACTGATTTTGCATTAGATACAGTCACTCTACAAAATCTAAACGGTTTAAGAGTAAGGATTATCTGTATGAGGAAGGAGGTTCAGCCTCTTTCAAGCATCATACATCAATCAGCTAAAATTCACAGCTGTTAATCTTTAGTACTGGCAGAACCTCTTATCTCCAGTAGCAGGGCAGCTGGATATGTAGAAAATCTTAATGGAATTTTTATACATGTGTCCATCTGCTACAGTTTTCTAGCAACTCAGCCAGGAGGAGAAATATGGGCACATAATTGTAAGTATTTATTATTTTTACACAGTTGTTTTGAATAAAAGAGGTAGTACAGAAGGTGATGAGGAAAGGAGAGGCCATTCAAGACCTTTGACATATGGTTGAATATTACTTAAAGAGCATAGGAGAAAAAGATCTGCCTGTATTTGGCAATGCAGTCTTTTTCAGCACTAGAAAAAAAACAACATAGAATTTTTTAGTGTTTGTCTTAAAACTCTCTGTGAAACTATCTTGGATCACAAGGTACACTGTACACCCAGACAGAAAAAGGACTCGTGACTCATACATCATACAAGCTTCAGTTCTTAGGGCCCTTTGTGCCAGTACATCACTTTCTAAAAGATGCAAACAGAACTGGGTTTCCCATGCTAAACAAAAGCTTTTGCACATGTCATGTTCACAGAAGAAGTGGGGCTTTTTTCTCTAAGACAGTGAGACAAGGTTAGTATTAGAACCTGCTATGTATAGAAGGGTGGTGATACATGTTGTTGTTTTATGCCCACACTAATATGATCTGTGTTAGGTACCTAAACAAGGTGTTAACCCACTCTGCCAAGGTATTCAACTCCCCAAATGAATAAATGGAGAACATCAACTCCTTCCTCTTGACTTATGAAAGATGCATGAGAATAATGCTGTGTATACTCTACGTAGTGGGGTGGGGGTTTTGACTCTGGAAATATCAAGGACTCACCCCTAGCAGGTTGCGGGGAACATAGCCTTCCTTGTCGTTCAGCCGTGCCCACCACCACTCAATTTCATCTTCATCTTCCCGGCGCAGGATTGTCATGCAGTCTCCCTCTTTCATGGAGAGTTCATCATCATTCTGAGCCTCGTAATCCCAAAGTCCATAAATCACTCCTTTGTTCATTATCCCCATTTTCTCCTGGACTCCTGTAACATTAAAAACACCGAGCAGCTCAATAAAAAAAGTTTACAAAAAAGAAAAAAAATACAACAGTTGGAAAGATTGTTGTACTCTTACTGAAGAGCAGTCCAGGAAAAGAAAACAAACAACCCCACAACCTCAATTCCTATCACACTTAGCACCTTGGTGTCATCAGCCTACTGAAAGTCAGTCCTGGAAAAGGTGGCATTGTGAAATTAGCCCTTGCACATGACAGATTCCTTCCTTACAGTGTTCAAAAAACACAAGGTAAGCGCAGAGAGGAGCACTGATTGATACAACGTTATATTTTTGTGCTAGCGTTGATATTTCCTACACCTAAGTGATGAGCAAGAAATACCTGTTTGTACTGTTAGTTCATCAGTAATCTCCATCTGTCAAAGGGAGACAGCAATATCTGCTTATGTTGACCACCACTATCATTTTGATGCTTGAGGTATCATTTGCCACCTGTGTCACTTTATTCCAGAACTTTAAAACAAGTTGCATCTCACACCTATAATACCCAAAAGATTTGTCAGCTACCCACCAGCTGCTTTAGTTAACTTTTATCTCAACAGTTCTTAATTTCTGCCACTATTTTAGTTATTTTTAAACAGTGACATCAGAAACACAATTCTGTTAAATTACTTCTGGACCAAGGTGTTTTAGAGTATGTGCATATGCCTTGCAGATGCTATTTAGAACTTGCTCATCTTACAGCTGTAGCCAAAGATTAAATACTATTTTTCTTGTACACATACCTCATCTTCTAAGCAGCAAACTGGAAGAAGTATCTTAATCAACTGTTATACAAGCTTTCTCTTAGGTAATTATTCCATTTTAAAATACTGAATCCTACTGCTGTTTTTGTATGGTTTTGGTATTGCCAAGAGCAAAGAGTACACTGCACGTCATATCACAAAACTTGTCATCTCCCTTTCCATCTCTTACCTATTACAACCTATTGTATGAGAGTCTTACCCATGTCTACTAAAGGAAGCATCTGCTCAAATCAAGTTCTTTACTCTGCATACTGGCTCATCACGGAAAATTAAGTTACTTCCACTGCATGCTTAGTTCTGCTCTGAGAAACTCTTCCCTTGCTTTGCATTTCGTATAACTAAAGGTATGGCAAAAGCTGTGCTCTGCATCCATGTGGAAGGTTAAGACTGAGCACTAAACACTGAAGCAGACAGAAGATTCACACAGTGGACCTGGTCTTCTACAAAAGTATTAACAGTCACACCAGGGTAGCAAAGCAAACATGCTCTTAGAGACAGCACAGGCATTAAATCTTAGAAAGTGAAAAATTACATAATTCAGCAGCATCAGACTTGTCATTTATTCAGTGCTAAAATACTGGTGGTTTTATTTAAACCTGCCTGTACTTGTTGATGATATTCAGTATTGTGCATCATTTACAACAAAAGGAGATTGGGTGATTCAGTGAATCACACCAAAGTTTCTCACCTTACAGATGAGTTTAGAGGGCCATGTTTTAATGCAGTATCCGTTCTGGAAACAGATACACATCCCCAAACTCCTTTCACAGCAATAAACAGATATAGCCATTGAATTAATTTCTTACTTTAACTATAGGCAATCAGAAACAGACTTACAATAGGATTAATTCCTAATGGAACAATATGGAAAATATGATAGCTGAACAGCCAGTGTATCAAGAGATACCTTAGTTTCAATGGTTTCAATTTAGAAAAGCTGGCAATAAGACAAAACCTTACAGTCCTTTCAGAACCCATTGAAAAGTATCTCATAACACACACACACAAAAAATTCCAAACCCAACAACAACAACAAAAAAGAAGAGTATAAAGTGAGACCACGAGACGGTGAGTCCAAAATACCCTCTAAAAAGCCCAATGTGTTTCTTCATGGTATATATAATAAAGCCATGGAGCTCCTTCTCACAGGATCTTGTGGGCTGTTTACCTGAATGAGATAAATTCCCCAAAGAAATCTCTCAAGACCTATTCAACACAATGATACCATCTCTCAACTCATATCAGAGGTAAAACCATTAATAAATATCAGACAAGTATTTTTAATCTAGTCCTACAATCTTCCTTGGGCATTTGCTGTTGATGACCACCCACTGGAGTCTGGATATAAAACTAAATGAAGTTTTGCTTAGCCCACAGATTTTGATGCTTGTTAAATAGGCTCCCTCCCTTCATAAGGAAAATGATATATTTGGCACCAATAGATAGAGTTTTCAAGCTTAGTGAGGATAGCTGGACAGACTGTTTTGAAATATGCTGGCTGAGCAGCTTATAGAAACTCAGATCTCACACGTTCCACAAAACCAGAAGGCTGTGTTACAGCTTTTTATGCTGTATTACATTGCTACTACTCTAACCTCTTACAGATAGCTGACACTCCAGCTGGTAGGTACCTAGAGGACAAGCACTACATACAAAACGTACAGAAAAGTAATTTAAAACCTCATTACATACAAAACATACAGTAAAGTGATTTAAAACCTCATTGACTAACACTCATCACACCCTAGGGAGAATTTATCCTCTCAGTTAAAAGATAGTTTCCCTGTAGTCTTACCATTTGAATAAAATCTAAATTTAATATGGGATTTCTTTTCAAATGCAAGAGAAGTAAAAGGCCAGAAAGATAAAGTCAAGTTCAGTGCTTACTAACCTTCATTAAGGCAGAAACTTGGCAAAACCTTTCTTGGTTCTAAAGTGCACATTAGGAAATATTCATTTAAAGACACCAGGTAGCAGATATGAACTCCCTACTGAGATATTCATACCACTTTTTATGTAAAAAAAAAAAAGTACTTATGTGTTAAGATTCACTTAAGCATCACCTCACACTAACATATTTGACAATGTATGCTTTTAACTCTTGTCAAAGTTTTTAACGCAGGGCAATGTTTTGTTACTCAGGTATTCTCTACAGGTTCAATATTAGAAGGTTAGTCTTGATGGATCTCATTTTGTGACAAGAAGCTGGCTAGAACCTCTCTCTTTCTAAGAGAAACTTGAAGCATGGGCACACCACCTCAGTGTGCAACTTAACAGTCCTCATGAAAAACATACCAAGAGGTGCCAGGTTGAGTCCCTAGCACGCTCCATAACTCAGCTGCCATCACCTACCATATAAGAACTGGGAGCACTGCGTGTAGCCTTCTTCCATTTCCTCACATTTGTCTGCAGCTGTCTGCATGTCACTGTAGGTCATCGCAAATACAGCTGCACCCGACTCCACCAAGAACTTGCACACCTGCACGTTATTGCAAGATGCTGCACAGTGTAATGGGGTCCTGCAAGTCAAAAAGGAGAAGATGACACATAACTTTTAATGCCTATAGCAGGGCTTACAGACTCCCAGGGGCAAACTGCTTCTGTGCGTGACCTCCAGCAATCAGTACTGCATCGCTGATGGCTTCCCACTGAAGCACTTAACCCAGGACTGTCAAGAGCAATTGCTTTTCCACAGATAATGGGAGTTACCAAGAGCTGCTTGAGCCCTAAAGCTTGGTTTCCATACGGATCTCTAGTTACGCTATCTTTTTCCAATCCATTAACATTTTAAGAACATTCAATAAGGCAATTAAAAAAAATATCAATATTAAAAAAAACACTTGAAATCTTCCTGACATCATGCCTCTTACAACCTATAGATAATTATTTCCGAAGACCTGACTTGGTGACAAGCGCAAGTAATTGGGATAACTACTGAAGCTGAAGGAAAACAAGCATCTTTATTTGCTCTTGGGTCTTAGAAACTTCTGTTACAGTCAGAAATAATAGTGAAAATTGCTGCTCCCCTCCACTAGCCTTTTGTAAATAAGGTCACTGCCTACCTTAAAAAGGATCTGTAACCCATCATCTGTTACAAGCCTAGCTTGTAGGTTGTGGTTTTCTGCTTTGTTTTGGTTTTAAGTTGTTGGAGCATGGGACATAGAACTGAGGAGAGCTTGCAGGGCTAGATACTGCCCAGAGCATATGTAAGCTACAGGCTCTCTCACAGAGAGGACATCAGGAATTTCAGCAAATGGCTCATTACACATAAACTATCTTCAATATCTCAAAGAAAGAGCAGTTTCCTGACAACTGTATCCATCCTACTAGGTCTCAGGCACACACTTTTTTCATATAGGGAATATTAATATCATTTGCCTATTTCCTCCTCTGCACCTTCTCATATGATGTGCCACAGAGAACTGCTGTTGCTTTACCATGGAGAAGTTGTTGCCAGCTCTATAGGAGCCAACTGAGGGACTGTCTGAGGGACCTGTAGCAGCCCCCAAGCTGCAGCAGTCTTGTGGGGAGCCTCTGTAAAGTACTAAAAGAAAGCCTTACCATCCATCACTATCTGCAGCATTCACATTCACTCCAAACTGCACCAGGAACTTCACAATTTCTGTGTGCCCAGCACACACAGCGTTGTGTAGTGCAGTAATCCCTTCATCGTTCGGCATGCTAGGATCTTCAACCTGTTTAGCAAGAAAAGGAGCCATTCACATTTGGTGAAACTCTCTAAAATAAACCTCTCTTCGCATATAAAAATTAGTTCTCTTATTCTGAAGTATGATTTTTGAGTCACGTATCTATGAAGGACATGAGCAACAGGCAGAAAATACAGCAGCAGCCAATCTTGCAAGAAGATTCACATATGAGCTTGCAGTCTCCTTTTAATAGTAAGGACGTAAAGCAGTTCAGAGAAATAGTACATTGATAACTTAGTAAAAGCATTTACAAGTTTATGATGTTTGACTATTTAACTGTAAGCAAAACTCATGTGGGTTTTGCTTATCAAATTATCTGATAACATACCAGACAGGGGATGAAACATTACATGAGAAATGAGGGAAAATTTTTCCTGAAAATTTATAGTCTTGATGCTAAATACCTAATGTGGATTTAACACTTTTAAAATCAGCCTGCAAGTGGCCATGTCCAGTTAGGACTTTGCATGTCCTCAAGGGCAGATCTAGGTTTTGGACTACTATTTTAGCTTCCCCGGTGCAGAAAAGCTGCGACTTCCCAGTCTGAAGCAGGACTGCTATTCCTTCTTGTACAAGTTGGCATTTGTACCTCGTAAATTATTCTCTGCACGAGATCAAACTCCCCCTCCAAAGATGAATCCAGAAGCAATGCAAGGGGATTGAATTTCACTCTCATTCCGTGCCCAATTCTCTCAGAGCCAGTTTTACGCAAGTTCGTCCTTTTCCCCTGTGAAAAGGTAACACAAGTTACAGGCACTTTTTTCCCCAGGAAGAACAAAAATACAAAATTGCTTATTTGTAAATGACATCAGAAATTACCAATTAAGACAGTGTTTAATATTAAATTTAAACTATTTTCTACAAATTCTCCAACACATTACAAATATAGTAGTTTAAGCATGTTATGAAAGATCTTTGCCTCTATCTCTAGACAAGATCACTATTCAACTGAAATACAGAAGTTACCTTGATCAAACAAAACAATGAAATAATAAAACTCCCAAATCCCTGAAGATTAGGAAAAAAGGTGGGTTGTTTTTTTTTATTCAGACCATTTCAGCATTAGCTATTAAAGCTGTTACACAAACCATGTAGTACACTCCATGAAGTACACTACTTTTTAAACACCAATGTCAAGCGCCTAACATTTTCCTAAGTTTAGCAGACATTACCAGGAACATAAACAATTATGGCAAATGGTTTTGGAAAGAATACAGAACCAAGTGTAAAATGCTTTAGATGCTCCCAGTGATACTGGAAACCAAGTATTTCTATAGCTGAGTCTGTACTCTCTCCTTTAGAGAATGCACACATTAGCTCAGCACTCTCCCCAGCTGGCTGTGCAGCGGCAATAAACACTATTCATAAGGATATGTAAATTTCTGACAGATGTCCAAGCAAAGATGAATAGAAATGACTCATGTTTTGCAAGAGCTAACATGTGAAATTAAGATATACAAGAAGAGATTCCCAGAAAATACTCTCTTGCCTGTTAATTTATACATAATATCAAAAGTAGAGGCTTTTTAAAGAAAGAGCCTGTCAGCACAATCCAAGTATTTAAATATGAAATCAAGAAGTTGGGCCGGTTTCTTCTCATCATCACACAATTATTACAAAACCAACCAGAAACAAGTTCTTACAATTTAGGAAATTCTACCACTCAAGTTTCCTTGCAAAAGGGAGCAAGGACAACGTCTTTAAAGCATGAAAACATGCAATGACTATTCCATACGGAAATTACAAGGTTAAAGAGCATATTTAAAGCTTTTAACTCCTCTGCGCTAAGGTGATGGAGGAAAAATCCACTTTCATGTATCAAATTATTAAAATTCTATTAATGATAGGTTTTAAAAGAAACTCTTTGAGGAACTGAAAGCAGTAAGCATTTCTGTTCTTCAACAGTGAGATAACACCATACCACACACACAGATACAAACTTCTAAAACAAACAAGATGGTAAAATGCTGCCTACCCTTAGCCCAAAGAGACTCCATTTTGATGCAACTTGAGAACTGACTGATGTTAAATCACAGTCCAAAGAAAAACTCAGAAAACATTTCAGTAGAAGAAATGCAAGCAGTTGATGTTTACAAATGAGTTTTTAAAGCAGAAACTAAAGAAGTCTATTTCTCCATATTTTTCAAGCAAGGCACTTTCAGAATAAACAAATGCAGTCCAGGATTAAGATAATCAATTTCCATCTCCTACCAGCAATAGAGTGAAATGCTTCTGAAATCTGTATCTGTGCCTCAAAAAAACCCAAACAACCTTCAATTTCGAATTAAGAAGAAAGTATAGTTTGGATGTAGTATGCAGATTTCTGTAAGAAATGTTCCTTACAGCCCAGAAGAGTTTTACTATTTGTGTGTCAAATTCCATTTGCAACTTATCATCATGTCATTAATTCTAGAGACAGAGACTTTTCGTTACTGGCATTCACACTGGAGATAAGAGCATCACACAAATAGAACAGGTACCCACAGAGAGACTTCTAGACAATTTGTGTGACTGTTCACCCACATCTTATTAAGCTCTACAAAACAACGCACAGGATTTATGGCAGACCTTGAGAGAATTTACTGACAGGGTACCCAAGTTGTAGGCTAACTAATACTTACAGGAGGCAAGGAAAATTGTCCAGTAACTTCAGGAGGCCTCATATTGAATGAGTCCTCTCCCAAACTCTCTGGTTCCCCTGATGGATAGGGAGGTGGTGGGTATGGAGGATATTCTTCCAAGTATACCTCCAGTGGCAGTGAAGCTTCTAGGCTTGGTTCTTCCGTTTTTGGCTGCGTGAGTTCACCACTATCTGATACTCCTTCAGGTACAGTCTCCAAAGCCATGGAGGGAAGAACAGCTTCACTCTGATCTGCTGGTGTGTCTTCTGCTTCCTCAGCAATAGCTGGTTCTGGCATAGAAGCAGCTGTTTCTTTTTCCAATTCTGCACTTAGATAAGGATTTGGGATTTCTGCTGGACTTTCAGGACTGGAAGCTGATGCCGTCTGTTTCGATGGATGTGATGGAGCTGAGATAGTCTCCATTGCAGCCAGAGTGGTCCTCTGATACAACAGCTTCTGAATATTGGGGCCATTAGGTCCTTCTGGCTCAGTAATGGAGCTACGTTTCTTCAGTGGTCTGGGTGCATTGGACAGCTTTTTCCGTAGTGCTTCCAGATCAGCATCGCTCTGGTTGCGGTATGGGTTGGATAAGAAAGGCAGCAATTTGGTTGGGCTAAGGGGACGGGGTATTCGCTCTGTTTCATGATTCTCATGAGTGGAGGATGCTGTTTCCATCTCAGGCTCCGGACTGCCTGGCTTGCCTTGGAGGTTTGAGTAGATGTTCTCCGTCTGTGGTGGCTGATTCTGTACACCAGCTCCTGCCATCACAGGTTTGCCATACACTGTAAAGCAGTTCAGGGAGGGATGGAGAAACAACAAGTGTGAGTATTTGATCACAAACCTATTAAGAACATGCAAACTGATTCATCTCCATAGGGCAAAGATGCAGAATAATATGCTCAACTGAACAGAATTAATCTGGTAACCATGTCTTCCTTCAGTTACATTGCAAAGCCAAGACAGATACTCTGCACTTTTTAACACAGATATACAGCATGTAAGATCCAGTTGATTCTTACGGCTGCACTAACCTGCTTAATTCCCCTGAAGGACAGCTTCATACCCACAGAGCAGGTGGAAAGTACACCTATATCAGATTTATCAAGACAAAAGAGAGGTGGAGCACCACATGCTTACTGCTCGGGAAGTGCGGTCCTCTGGTCTGCGCCCTCGTCAAAGCACTCTGCACTGCCTGCTGGAAGTTCTTCCCAGGAGTCTGCTGTTGCGTGTACATACTATAAATTGAACTTGTAGCCACAGTTTGAGGCTTTCGAAATGGTGGGAGTGAGGTCTCTTTGGACGGCTGAGGGGTAAAAGGTCTCACAGCTGCTGCTGGGGGACTCTCCTGCTTGGAGGAGGGAAGAATTTGGTCCTGGCTAGAGGAAGAACCTGCAGGAGGTACAGAAATTCTTTGCTGTATCTGCTGAGGATGGGAAGGTTGCTGTGCCACTGTTTTTTGCTTATTCCCCATAGTTACAATAGCCAAGGGCAGCTTCTGCAGGTTTCCATCCAGCTTAGCATCAGAAGGTTGCAGATGACTGGCTTGACCAAAGTAAGGCAAGTTTATCTGTTTTGGTTTAGTGGGGACAGGTGGTGGTACCTTTGTTGCACTTTTATTGGCTGTCTGAAAAACAAAAAGAAAAAAGTTAATTAAGATTAAACAGCAAAACTTATTTTAGGACTTTTGTGATGGAGTAAAGATCCTCAAAGAACAACACACACTATCTAGCATTTCTACTACTGCTGCAATACTGTTTACAACATCATTGGAAACATGAAGAGACTTCTTGAAACACGTTATCATCATAGTTGTTTATACTTTGAACCTCTGCTCTTTAATACTTTCTGTAGCAGCTACTGTTTAAAACATCAAGCAATACCAGGCACAGTAGTTTATCTAGAGATAGCAGAGGCATCTGTAGGCAAGAAGCTTGTTTTCCAAGTGAGCACTTGCCATCCCCAGTTCTTCCATGTTACTTCACACCCTACCTGATCAAATCATGCCCTTGTATGAAGATTTAGGTGGGAAGTCTTGCTGCAAACAAACATCTGAAGGACAACTGCTGCATTAAACAGTGAAACAAGCGTATAAATGATTTTAAAAACCCCATGCCTCTGTGCATATAATCTTAGGGGGAAAAAAAAGAAAAAGAATATGCATACACACTAGTATAGGTAACCCAGCCATTTTTACATGTTCAGTCAAAACCTAGATTTTCACCACAGTGACTGTAGGGAATGATTTTAATTTACCAACTGCCATCAAAAGCCTATAAGACTCCTTTCCTTAGAAGCAGTCTTTTAAAAGAGGACCTAGGTACTTTTCAAAGACCTTCCTGACATATTTGAAAAGCTGTGTAGTAATCCCTGTCAGATGGAATGCAGTAGTTCGAGTTTCCTGCATACCTGTGCTTCTCGAAGGAGATCTTCACTGCTCTGGTTCTTTCTCAGTGTGCCCAGCCCAGCAGACTGGTCCACAGAATCAAACATTGAGAACGGACGCACTTTTTTCTCTTTGTCTCGTAAAAAAGTTTCTCCTTCAGCTGTTGTTAGAGAGAGGAAAACTTTTAAAAAGGGAAAAACAATTGGAGGAATAGTCTTGTTCTTTGCAATATTCAGGACAGTGTATGCAAGGAATGCTTTTTGTATCCATCCTACCCCTGCACTAAGGGCCCAAGAGCCTGCCAAATGCTGCATTTTACAAACTGAACAGGAGCATCTATGAAGGCATTAGTATAAATTTCACCACCGGAAACCAGGTTGTGGGTGGTTGGTTTTTTTTTTTAATCCCTGCAACACCATACTGAAGCTTATATGGCAATAATGCTTTTTTTTTTTTTGTGCTTTCAAATGAATTCCACATATTTACTGAAGCATTCAGAAGAGAGAGGTATCATTAGATTCTAGCCAAGCACTTAAGAACATACCTTGTCCTTCGCTAGTCACAATTCCTTTTCCTGAAGTCAAGGATGATCCTTGACTAAGATGACTATCTGCATTTGAACTACTCCAGTCAGTGGCAGATGGGGAAGGTTTTGCACTGGGGACCACAGAACCTAGAAGAGAACAAATGGAACAGATTAAGCTAAAATAATGTTTCTATTGACTTATTTATTACAGGTAGATTTTTTTTTCAGTAAGAGTCAAGTCTAGACAGTGTACAAGCATCATATACAGGTTAACTGCTATAAACACTATCACTTTAGATTTTTGCTCATTTGTTTTTAAAAGAGAATGCAAAACCAAGTTCAGAAACAACTATCAAAGCAGCAGCAAAACTATTTGTCTTCACACATGTTTGCTCTTACAGCATTCAGAAAAGAAACTTCTCTAGACTGCCTCCTTTCCAGTTAGTAAGAAGATTTCCTTGGATATTTATAGTAAGTTAAAGGTGACAGGATGGTAAGATAGGATGAAAAAGATAAATTGTGCAAAGAAAAACACAATGCTTTAAAGAATAAATAGATCCTGCCAGTGATATCCAAAACAGTTGAAAAAATCACCTGTATGTTCAATTTGCATACAGGCACTGCATTAAAGTTGATCTTTACATGCACTGGAGCAGACAAGCAATCTGCTTCAAAAATAACTAAGAAACCACACATTTGTATAACAAAAAATCAAATTTTGTGTGGACTAGACCTAAAATTCCACTCCAGCAGTTTTAGGATCTGCAAATCAGATAAAATTAAACCATTCCTCATTCTCCAGTACAGCAGGAGACACTTGGGACTTTTTTGTGTCATGGCTACTTTAATAATATCTGCCAGAAATGGAAATAAAAAATAAACAGAACTATTTTACAAGTTCAGACTCCATTTTTTTTCCCTTTGGGAAGATCAGAGTTTGTGTTATCTCCCAGCTGAAAAGCAAGTCTTCTCCTCCCAAGATAGCACAGAAGAGATAGTTGCAACTCTCCAGTTCCTCCAGACTTCTTCTCTCACGAAGCTGAATTGTACTTTATATGAGAAAGTCACAGAAATCTCCATTTGTTAACTCATAGCAGAATAGTCCAAGCCTTGCGTCAGGTGTTTGGACCTATAGCTCTCCATATTCCTACACCTTCAATATGTCAGCAAGTTTATTGTTATTTCCGTGGTACAATCAACTGCCTCCTTTATATTTCTTGTAAAGTTCGTTAATCCTTTACATGTGTCATTTCCAAAATGCATGATCAGAAAACTTGACTTTGCTAGTTTTTAAGTCCAGGCACCTGGTTGTTACCATGTATGTCCCAAAACTGTCTCTAGAAACTCAAACACTGTTGTATAGTTTTTAGGAGTATTTAAAAAAAAAAAAGTTGCAGAAAAATCCTCCTACTTTCTACACTATATAACAACTCAGACTGCTCACTAAAAGGATTACTTAATAACACATTGAAACATATAGCTTCAGTGCTTATAAAAATATATCCACTAGGGCAGGAAAACTGCAAGTAGTAAGACTTGACACCTCAAAAAATACTTTGCTTAAAAGATAGAGGCTGGTAGATAAAACAAGACATTTCTGGAGAAGAAATATTAATCATAAGCTATTACCTGCAGGAGCTTTAGCTTGTGTACTGCTCCCAGCCCTCATGTTGGGCAGAGTTTGTGTTTTCAGTGGACCATCAGGTACCTGCAAAGCTTGTGTCCCATCTGAAAATGCTGGTTTCACCAAAAGTTCAGGTCTGGAAGCAATACGTGGCATAGTAGAGGACTGGATATAAGGACCTACTGCTGCTACTCGACTTGGAGCCGAAGCCACTGGCTGTGGTAAATTCCCATCAGAAGAAACCTTGGGGGGGAAAAAGATTTGAAGAATGTTATGCTGCAGTATCCATCCATCAGAGTTTGAAATATAAGTCAAAAAGGATAAAACAAGTAGAAAACTATAATATTAAAAATGCTTTTTTAAAAAAAGCTTTAAGGGTTATAAATATGAGGTAGTAACAGCCCCCAAAAAACCCCACCCACCACCTAAAAAAATAATCCACAACAGCATAAAAACAGTTCTTGTCCATAAAGAGTAAGTAGGTTAACACCAATGTACCATGAAAAGTACCTTAATAATACAAGACTTCTGTCATGTATGGATAAAAACAAGTCTAACATCTGAACAGCCTTTCCCACAAGTAAATCTTTACTTCAGACTGTATAGGCCACAAATGAAATAAATTTTTTTGTAATTAAACATCCCACACTTACTGGTACATTCTCTTTCTGTTGCAGAGCTGCCTTTTTCTTCCACAGGCGCTCTCGCAGCTCATTAACACGCTTATCCATGACTGCCACCTCCGAGTTGCGCTTGTTCAAACACTCCCTCTGTTGCTGCAGCTTGGCATTCTGCTCCTGGTTCAGTTTGTTCCTCAACTGAATAAATTCACAAAGCGGGGAGGAGACCAATGCTTCCTCAAAGCATTCGTAAAAGCAAATGCACTAGCAAGATTATGTAAATTCGGTCTACTTAGAGCACTGATGGGAAGGAAAAAAGAACGCTTTTTTACTTCCTGAAGTATGGAAACAAACAAAACCACACTACCAGGCTGAATTTCATCTGTAGAAGTCTAAATTCACTTAATGCTGAATTCCACAGGAAGACACCCGCTCACCCACAAGGCATATTTATGATGTTTAAAACTCTAGATTTAGGTCGTAGGAAGTCAATGAAAAAACACTCAAGCTGTTATATTAAACAAAGACTGAGAGGGCTTTTTAGAGGCTATTAGGAACGGCTGTCATCAGCTGCTCCCAATGCCAAACACTGTTACATTATAGAACAAAGTTTAAGGAATCGGTAAGAATTCAAACAAGTAGCAAGACCAGACCTGCTGAGGCTGATACAGGGAAACAGATACACATGGTCCAAGACCCTGTATTACTCTACTATCCTTCTATTCTTTTAAATTGATGTTTATTTTGTGCAACAGAACCCAGACAGAAAATGCATTCTCCCCATCAAAAAACACTTTTGCTTTATCTGTAAAGCACCATGCTTCCTAATAAAACAATATATATTTTTACCTTAATAAACCAATACATTTTCATTTGAGTCCAACTGGAAATGACAAGTACAATATGTAGAGGAAAGATGAAAAGGTATGCAGAAGAATGTGTGTTGATATGAAATCTGAAATTAATATTTAATGTTGCATCAACATGTTGAACTGCAAGCACCCAACTAGTACTGTAACAAGCCAGACACTAGTCAGATTTCAGCAATCAAAAAGAAAATACTCATCCACTTTGGCCATTAAGTTACCTCTTGCATAAGCAGCAACATGGATATCAGATCAAGCTTTGTTATAGACCAAGAAAACAACATTCTGAATGTGTGGGGTATTAACATCAAGGGTGGAAAAAAGTTACCGTGGTACACAAAGGTATTCAAGTAAAGAAAAAACCTACACTGCAATTAAAGAGCAGATATGCTGGGCTCAAAACACAGGGTGACCTTAAGCAATATTTTCTTCCATGTCATTAAGAAGTTTTCTTAGTAAATACACGACATGAAATTGTCAAGATTAACATTTCCTGGAACACTGTAAATACCTCATCTGAATCACTGAAATCACCAGAAATTTTAGAGTTCCAAGAATCACACTTCATGAGAAATCACAGGCTACTTTCCCCAAGCAGCAACTCACCCAGTTTCCCATTGCTGAGTCTTTTTTGCTCCACATGGCCCTTCAGTGCTCTCACTTTCTTAAGTTTGGCTTCCTGATTCTCAGCAATTTCCTTTAATCGCTTCAGTTTTTCCTGTTCAGCAGCTTGCTGTTGCTGTCGCTGATCTTGCTGTTTCAGGAATTTCAGACGTTGTTCCTGCAGTCAAGACAAGGATTTTTTTTTTTTTTTAAATGAACTTATGGTAAGGTACTGACAGAAACAAACCATCACCACAGCAGCTCAGGTCAGCTTTAACCCAGTACCCCGACTTCCCAGAGTGTCAAGGAAAGTCTGAAAAAACAGAGCAAACACGTATCAATTCTTTTCCAATACAATCCTCCGGGTACAACTACTCTATAGTACAAGAACCTACTGAAACAGAAGTGGTATCCATGCCTAATGGCCCTTGGTAAATTTTTCTTCCATGAAATCGCTCAAAACACTTTGAAGCCTAAGTAAAATTTCAGCATTCATGTTCCATGACATTTGCCAATTTCATTCAATCGCTACTTGGCTCTCAAGTTGCAAGAGCTAATGATTATTTCCCCTCTACCTTCTCCATACTTTACAGATCCCTATCATTCGTCGCATTTTAAACAACTATAAGTCATGCTTGAGAATATCAGTCATTCTTTATACAGAAGGTATTCCATAAGTTATTGATCATTTTCACTCTTTGTCCTCTTACTAGTTTTACTAGAACCTCCTTGAGATGGTGGATCACTGCACACAAAAGTTCCAAGAACCTACCATTTCCTAGTAACAATCACCACTAAACACAGGATGATTCAAGACATGGGAAAACCTTTACAGTGACCTGGGCCTCATTTATACAACAGACATCATCTCAGTGGAGAGGATCCTCTTGCCTCTCCAAGAGTAAAATTGTGTGCTATCAGTTTCTATATATAGATGTCTGTAGTTCAGAGTTAAAGGAAACCACTATATCGCTCACAGAGACTTCCTTTAAATCACTGGCCATTACACATGGCTGTCAATTCTGGAGATGATAGGTTGTTCCAGAGGCAGGAGAACTACTAAAACTTTCCCAAGCACCCACTAACAGCCAAGACTAGCACTGCTTACTAACATTGGAACAAAATGCTTCTTCAAAACAGAAAAAAAAAAAAAAAAAAAAAAAAAAAAAAATCACCAGTCATATTTAGAAACAGGGACTCTTGTGCACTTTGAATAAAAAAGGAAGAGCAAAAGAGTGAGCTGGCCTTCCGGAGACAGCCAGGCAGCACCTGCAGCATATGCACAAGTTTAGAGTCAATCCCACACAGGAAAGTGTCAAAAAATAGACATTACAGCTCATGTCTAAAAAGAAAGTGTATTTTTCCCCCTCAGAATCTATTTTTAATATTGCATCTGATTTCAGAAGGCAGGAAATCAGCAATGGAAAGCCTGTCTTTGGAACAAACCTGCTTTCCTAGATGCCCTTTCAGAGAGGCAATGTTAAATGAAAAATTCTCCCATGGGACACTCACAAGACTACTTTCTGCAAACCACAGGCAGCAGACACCTACCTGGACAAGCAGCTATCCAGTCTCAAACTCATAATTTTAATTTTTTTTTTTTTTTTAAATCTTGTATGATTCCCTTTATAGTAAATACATATAATGTTCCTATTACTGGTTTCATAGCGACTACAGTGTTATTGCTATATAAAGACCAAAAGACTATTGCCATCACTTGAGTGAAACAACCAGAAGTTATGAAAGTTTAGGCTTCTCTTATATATAGAAAACTCATCTGTCAGTTGGAACCAAGAAGAGTGCAACATTCTACCTTGGCAAATTTATCTGGGCAGGATAGGTATTAACTGTGCTGCTAAAGTTCAAGTGAAAATTCTGATCACTTGGCTGACTGACATCATGATTTCTTACATTTATATTTGCATCTTCATCATACCAGTTCTTACTATAAAACAGAAATAAAGTTTTATTGGCTATTTTGACAGCCATAGTACCACTCTGCAGGTGCTTTCAGAATCATTAGAAAGCCACAGTTTGAAGCAGTCCTCTGAGATACACTTATTGAAAGCCAAGAGAACCAAACAAGATGCTAAACATAGTGGGGAGGGTGTAGGAAGAGGGGCAGAACTCAGCTACCTCAAAAGAAGAGTGAGACAGGGCTTCTGACAGAGGAAGAGTAGTATGACAAGAGCCCTAGAGCAGTATTCTCCCTCTAGAGCACATTCTGAAGAGCATGGGAACTCATCCATCCTGTCAGCTGAGTGCTATTCAGGATGGGCTTGCATTTAACAATTCTCAGCAAAAAGCAGCATTTTCTGTGGTATTTTCAAGAGTAGTGTGTACCAACAAAATATGAAAGCCATGCCATCATTCCGCAGATGAATTCAGTGTATTTTTCCCCCTAAACAATTCAGGAACACCCTGTGTGCTTTCATTAGCTTTTCTGTTATTGTTCAGCAAGTATTTTATAAATCACTTTCCTAGTTACTTTTATCACATACATGCCATCTTTTCCAGACAGCTGCCCCAGGAAACCAGGCACACTGAACTCTGTCAGGAGAAAGCAAGATATCATTACAGGACAGCATTATATCCAGAGACAAAAGCGTTGTTCAGTGATCAAACCAGTGAATGGCTGGTGACCACACGGAACACAAAAAGAGCTGGCAGAGCTACCAGGATGAATGACCATATATTAATGTTATATGTTCTATCCTTTTAGTAAGCTATGTGGTCACTTCTACCACTGGCATTATTTTAATGTTTTAGTACTGGATATTTGCATAGGTTGACTTTCAAATCCAAAAAGAGGGAGCTAAAGAAGGGAGCTCTCTGTCAATAAGAGGTGAAAAAAAAAAACAAAACCAAAACCAAAACAAACAAAAACCACCAAACAAATCCCCAACCCTCCCTCCACCTCATGTGACTCTTACTACCTTTGTTCCTGGCTGTAAACAATCTCATTCCAAACTCTCACCTTGTTAGCCAGCATTTGCTGTTGAGCCTCAATTTGTTGCTGCTGGCGTGATGCCATTTCCTGAAGTTCAGCCAGTGTCATATCCATCCTTGGAGCACTGACCTGTCAAAGAAAATCCAAAGCATGCTAAATCTAGAATTTTTAATTTGGTCAGCATGCAACTCCACCGAGCTACTGCAGAAAAGTATGATAAAGGTCTTCAAAAAAATCCCCCCAAACCAGCAGCAACTGAGTATACAATAAAATAATCAGAAAAAAATGGCATATTTTCATGGTAAAACAATAGTTGCAAGCTCATACACATGCACAGCCCAATCCAGCACCACATATAAGATGACATCTCTTGAAACATTAATATTTCTAGCATAATCCCAGCAGCATTTTAAAGAGGTGTTTCAGAGCCCTTTATAATTAAGCTCAGCATGAATCAGCTTTGACTGACTGAGCCCAGAATGCTCAACACATGGTAGAATGGGTTTGTAGTCATAGGTGTATCGTTGCAATACAAAGCACTTCAACATTAAACTTAGTATTTTCTTCAACTTAAGTATAGTGGGGGGAAAAGACCCATAGCTCTCAGAGGTATCATTATTACCACATATTATTACATCTGTTTCTTGAATCTAGATTCAATCTTATATCCATAATTATATCTTCTGGACCAAGAATAATGACAGACAGTGGATTCACTGCTGAAACACTAACTGGTCTCAACTTGAAATCTGGAATTAAAAGATCTCCAACACAAAACTGAACATAAAAATATTCAGTGAACTGAAGGAAAAGAAGAGAAAAATTTTCCATGTGAGTAGAAAAGAGAACGTATGTTGAATTTGTATGGGCGATCTCAGGTCAGCAAATACAGATATGGCAGCTAATGGATATCAGACCTTGAGAACTGAAATCAAGGGTGACAACTGTTAGAGTCTTTGTGTCTGTTTTACAGCAGTCATTAGAAATCTCTCCAAAATAGCCTCTTAGTTTCCAGGGTAGGATTTGCACCAGTATCTCAAAGGGAGGGAAGCTTCCATTTTCACTATACTGGCCATCGCACCAAGCACTTACACCATTCTCTATTCTTCGATCACCAGGCACTTTGACACCATTTCTTTTTAAGGCTGGATCTTGAGACCTTTGTCCAGTCCCTAGATAGAAATAAGGACAGTCAAAGATGGTAAGGTATTTTAGGACTTTTCTTATCCCTTTAGACATAGCATTCAATACAAAAGGAGAAACAGTAATATTTTGGTTTAGAATCTGAACAACTGCTCTTCCCATGATCTTACCACTAAGATAAACATAACTGATGACACAAGATATTTTATGAAGAGGCTGCTGTTCAATGTCAACATTTATTTTAAGATATAACACTATTTAAAAACAGACAAACAAAAAACCAGCAGTGTGCAATTTCAATATTTCTACTATGGTCAACAGGCCCCTAGTATGTCTGCATTACATTATGAATAGTCACAAAAATACACTCTCTGGAAAGGACACAAAAAATATATGGTTAATTCACAGAGAGGCATTTGGACCACAGTGTCTTAAAACCAGCATTTAGATATTCTGGTGTGCTTTTGTCACCTATCTCACAGAGAATATGAATAACAACAGTTGAAAGTTAGTCGCCTATCATGAAAGATCGACCATTTAATCAACAGTTGATTATCTGCACATAACAAAGTTTAAAAGCACAATTTTTTTTTCTTCCTGGCAGTTACTGTGACAGTAAAGATTCTACTTAACTGGAATCCTACTTTAATGTTTCCACCAAATTACATACAAATGGTGTTCAGATGCCAAATACTAAGATGACCCATTCCCCTGTAGGACAGACATATACTACAGGATGAAGCCATCTCTGTTGGCTTCTTGCCCACTTCATACCTATTTCAAGACCATATTCCTGCAATATTAACTCCAGAGCTCCTAACTATTCATTTGTTCTTCCTCATATATATTGCTTAGCAAAGTCGTAGCCAATAAATTGCCAATAATCCTAATACTATGAGCACCCTGGACTTGAAAAAATTACATCCTGACAACTAAACTGCACTGTAAGATCCTTAGTAGACAGAAATTGCACAGATTTAACTTTTCATGTACTCATTCTGTCATCATTGCACATTTCAAACATCAAGATATGTTTAGTCATTTTAAAATATGCTGGGTACAATGCCACTTAACACAAATGCAGTATTTCCAATACCGAAGAAGATTACCAAGGATGAAAACAGAAAAACAGGAGGAAGAATAACCCAGTTGACTGATTTAAAGGTAAGTCTTAAGGATTCTAACTAAAGAGATTAATATAGGATGCACAGAAAAACAAAAAGTAATTTTCTTTATAAGTTTCGCATTTAGATTTACAATGCATAGATATTACATTCTCAGAGAACTTAACTAAGTAGTTCATTTAATGCTATTCCTGAAACTAATACAACTGTGTAGATTGTGGGAGAAATATCAACGAACTCTATCTTTTGCTAAGTATGTTAAGTGTTACCCAGGTGAAACCCTAAGACCAAATAATAAGTTACATTACTAGACAACAGTTTGGTTACTAGATTTAAAAGAAGAGACTATGACAGATCTCTAGATATTTCGCTGTGGCTAATACACTCAACACAGGATGCGCTTGGATGCTTTGCTGATGACAAACTCTAGAAAACCTGCAAAAGTCTCAATCTGGATTTAATGTCCCCAGATCTGAAAAGGGAGGAAGAAGTCTTTACTAAAACAAACATTTTTTCTGTTATTAGCATTCTTTATTCATAAGAAAATAAGGGTCAGACCAAAAAAGGCTTCAACACCATACTGACTACCAACATTAACAAATAATATGCACAAGCTGTTTCCTTAACCTCAAGGAATGAAATGAAACTTAGACAAATGAACCAGCTGAGATCAACACTTACCTGCTTCCCGGCAGGGAGAGCGTTCATGACGGAGAAAGAAACGAACTTCACTTCTCTGCATTCCAAAGCGCTGCAAAATATCCAGCATCCGTTCATTATCAGCTATGGGACGTTCTGAAAAAAAAAACAAAACAAAACAGAGTACTATTACATCCCTATGTAGCTTGGGCAAATACCAAAACAAAGCAAAATTATCTATCCACCATCTTTCACTTGAACACCTGTTATTACTCGGGTGCAGTGTATGCACCTAACACTTGCCTTCCCCTGAGGGATGTCAACCTTCCTCTGGGGAAGGCGCTGTACCACTCCTTGCTTCTGAAACGAAACCAACATATCTAAAAAGCAGATACAGACCTTTAAAAGTCCATCCCTGAAGGGAGAAGCTGAGGCACTGTCACAGCCCAAGTGGAAGCAAACAGGCAATTTAGAGCTTTCAGCTCTAGAGCCTTAGTGTTTTATTTGCAAACCATCTTACCCACTCACCACAGCAGGAAATGTGCTGGCATACCTTTTGTTTCCCTTCTATGGTACCACAGACAAAGTTATTTCTCAGTCATTCCCACCCCCTCCTGCAAGGGCTCCTCTGTCCTGATTCCTACAGGGACTCATCTACTTCCTATTCCAACAAAAATTAAAATGCAAAGATGAACTCTCAGAGAAGAGTAAATTCTTCTCTTAATGCTTCCTAAGATTGCAATCAAATGCTGGACTGCAGCCCTTGCATTCAAGCTCAGGCAGAGGCACCCAATACCATGCAGAGGCTCCTAGGCAGGATGCTGCGGGCCTGATCCTCAGCAAGTGAACACAGCTCCTGTCACTTCGTGTTCAGTAGCTCCTGTCAGCCATAGATCTGCCTCATTCTCCTGGACAGCAAATTTCATGAAGTTCAGATTATATGCATTTTGAAAGCCCCACTTCTGATAAACCTGGAAAAGCTGAACTATTTTGGATTCACAGCTCAAATGGAAAAAAAGATCAGACAGTGAAAAGTGATTCCAATAAGAACTTGCTATTTTCTTTCAGGCAGTCAAGATGAAGCTTCTTTAAAAGTTACATGCACAAGTTCCACTGAATTTCCTTTCCTGCTCTTGTTCCCAAGTTCAGGATTCAGTCACATCTCTAATTTTTAAGCCTTACTTGTTGCCTTTTGATATTACAAAAATCCACTGGGAGTCTACATCTACTGCCTTCATTTACCAGTACACCTCCCTTTCTGTATTACTGTTCTTTCAAAGTTTACACACTTCATAGCTGGACCTTCACAGACAGGATATAATTAGAATTGCTTATTGGCTTCTAAATCTTTACATAAAAGCAATTTCATTTGTTATTCTATATATTCTACCATACATTTTTACACCTATGTTAACAGCGATGGCATATATGTGATCAATATATTATAACAGTCAACTTTATGTAGTCAGAATACCATCATAGTATCTTATGACAACATCTGAGACTGATGATCAGGTTAGAGCCATTTGTGCTGGGTGCCAGACAAACAGAATATATTGTTCCTGGCCTGAGAAATAAAACAAGCAGACAAATACTGAAATTAAATACCCCCACTTTTGTACCAGTTTTGTTTTTCTGGACATTGCTTTTGTGGATGTTTCACTATTTAAGCAAGGGGAGGAAAAGAAAAAAAAAAAAAGGAAAAAAAATCAGAGAGTAGTTCATTCATATTCAGTGCAGAGTCTTTCAAACTCACTATCTTAATATGGAATAATCATTTCAGGGGAAAAACTGTTGGTGTTAAGGATAAATGTTTTCAGTTTCATCAGAAGTACAGCTACTAACATGTTTTCAGCATGTTAAAAGTTCTTTTCAACATAAAAGTGTTTCTTTAAATGAAAATAGTGCAGCTGTGCTCAAGCAATCTAGGAAGGAAAATTTCTGGAGTCACTGTCAAAAGAGATTAGCTTTACAGAATAAGCAAGTAGGTCACTGTTACAGAAAAAGCAGTCTCTTGGCGGTTACTTGTCTAGACAGCTAAATAAGCTCTTCATCTGCTAAACCTTAATTCAAGAAAAAAAAGTACAAAAAAACCCAACCGTACCACTGTCAGATTTCCATCTTAAAAAATATACAGCAGGCCTATGAGACATTTCTAGCCGCTCGGCAATACTTCAACTGAAACTCTATAATCAAGGGAGATACCCTTTACACAAGGATTCTGTCAATACCACTCAGTGACTTCAAAGAAAGGTCAAAGAGATTTTCAAATACCAAACAAAACTACATTTGGAAAGCTCAGGAAGAAAGGACAAACAATCAGACCATTTTTTTTTCCTCTGTCTCAAAAAGTTTAGTCTTTATACACACATACACCTTTAACTGTTTTCCACTGTGGTCAAGGTAGTCGCCTAACAGAATTCTAGCAATAATAGGAAGATCAAAAAAGTTTGCCCTGATACTCATCAAGTTTCAAGCAAGACTGGGAAGACAGGGAGAGTAGTAAATTTACCCCCTTCAGGGAGCAAAGTGCCTCAAGCGCACTTGCGGCAATCTTTCAAAGCACGCTTAATAAGGTCTGACAACAGAAGCTAAAATTCCTAAGCAAGCATCAGAAAAGAGAGACAGATGATCTGTCTAAAAAGGATCTCAGTAACTGAAGTCTGAGAATTCATTTTCCAACATAAATCTTTTGTTTCTACCCCAGAAAGTTAGCTGCCATGTGCCATGTTTGTTTTAAAATAAAGTTTAATTTGTTCAGTGTGAAATGCAAACAAAATAGAAGTTACTGTGTATCTTGGAAAAACAAGATAGTGAACTTTGCTGACATCTAAAATGAGATTAAGTAAAAGCTAGAAGTATTTCTCTCCCTTCCCACCCCCAAAAATCCAAGACATACATGAAAACATATCTTGCAAATGGTTGCTACTGGATGTTACACAGATGCTTAAGAAAGGATGTACTTTATCCAAAACAACATGTATGTACTTCATCCAGTACTCAAGTCTCAAATCATGTAACATTAGAAGATTACTGCATTTTTTGTTACCAAGTACAGTTAGAAACTGTATACAGTTTTACATACACACCAGTGTTTGCATATAGAAGTAAATAATAAGTAAATATGAGTGTATCAATTAAGAGAACAATAATAATTTGTTTTTAAAACAATCATCAAGGTTCTCCCTGTATAAATGGATGAACTTTTTTATTGGTCTTACGACAATAGCTGTGCAAGTGACATTTAGGTATCTGTTCTTGTGGTACCTCATGATGTCTCGGTAAAGACTAGTCTCAGACAAAAAAAAAAAAAAAAAAAAAAAAAAAAAAAAGATTATTTTCTTACATCTCCTTGAGTACCAGAGAAACTGACAACTTGATTTTACAAATAAACCTCCATGTATTATATGATCCCACACATCCAGAAGTTCACTTTTCATCTTAACAAGACCATTTGGACTCTAAGTACTGGCAGACTTCAACTGCCTCTCGGTATAGGTGCTTTCCCTTGATTTCAGGACAATCTTGCTGACCTTTACAGCATACTCTACATCTTACTTGTCTTTCACTGTAGACTTTGGTACTGTGTTGTCTTAGACATAGTTGGACAAAGATGTACAGTAAAAACACTTTCCTAAAAGATCTTTCCATGCTGGATTGGTGATTTTATTTTACCATTATTTATAAAGAAAAGCTACTTTATTTAATAAGGAGAAGAAAAAAAATTCCATTTAATTTTTTAAACTTAGAAACATTACATCTCTGTCAGAAGGGGCTAAAAATCAAGTGACAATTTGGATATCTCATGTTATTAAACAAACATCCAACCCACTAAAAACTTATCTGAACAGGTGTGAGCCTGAGCCAACAGCAGAGGAAGACAGGAGCATAAGCCCTTACCATCAATTCTTTTATGATTTTGTTGAAGCATCTCAAAAAAGATGGATGAAATATCATTATTTTCATTACTTAAAATCTCATCATGATTCATCTATTCTAGGCCTCTGGATGACTACCAGTATTCTAATGAATACCATGGAGAAAAGAGATAGTCAACAGTCCTTTCCCCTTTAAGCCATGAAAAGTTAGCCATATTTTAGATACCCTCTTCCCCAGGCTTAAAAGGGCAGGGGACAGTCAGAAGTAGTTTCTATGTCCTCCCTCCCATCCACCACACACCTCTGATCACCTCACATCAGGTAACTCCTACTACTTCTGGTAACACCCCTTCCAAACTCAGTTAACATGATCAGGAACAACAAAGGTGTCATCAGAAAAAGGAAGTCTCATTTGTCACTGCAAGTGAAAAATGCTATGGGGTTAAAGAAATTATTCTGACTGGGTCACAGAATTACTGATACTACTTCAGAAACCCCACACAGGCGACTGGGATCCCACTGTGGGGAGAAGGAAGAAGAGAAAACAACTCCCCACACCCTTCAGAGGCTCATCTGAATCAGAGAAGGGCTGCATACACAAGAACATCTGCATGCTTGATTCCCCTTTTGCTTTTAACTCATTTTCCTATGTGTGAGCCTTTCTGTAGATGCATTATCATACAGCAGGTCTGACAGATTAGCAAAACTGTAAAGCAGAAACCTTCTGGGACAGGATCATGTCTGTCAGGTACCTGTGCACTTCATCAGAAGCGGTGAATGCCCAGTAATTTACAGAGTGCAAACCCAACCTACCTGAGCCACACCACACTTCAGCCAGGTGGCACTCACTCTCACCAGGCTCCTTGCACAGCTCCACCACATCCCTGCAGGTTGTTTCAGGGGTGACTGGCACCTCAGTGAAGTGCTGCTCATTGTTACTGAGGTACACTGTCAGAAACATCTGGAAGAGACAAAGGCAACAGCATACGGTTACTTTATAACACAAAGCCAGACCGCACATCAGTCACAATCCTCTCATTAAATGTGTATTTTCAACACAGCTGTATTGTGTGTTATCAACTGCTCTACATAGAACATTTCAAAACAAAACCCCAATTTCTTTTTAAGGTAGAAGCAAATCAGACACTACGGAAGTAACTCTCTGCTCAACTAAATTACATTGTTGAGGATTGTTTGGTTTTAAATCTGGACCTACTGCCCTTCTTCCTTCTCTCTTACAGTGGTGTGTCAGAACTCCTCCCACCTTACTATACATATCTACTGCACCCATTTGACACAGCAGGATAAAGTCATCTAGAGTTCAGAAATACTCTTTATGGTGAAAAACAATGGCAATTATATCTGAATGAAATTTTAAAAAATTAGAAAAAGAGACAGACCAGAGCTTACTATATAGGCAATGAAGTGGAAACATAATTTGCATTTCCATAACACATTTCATCTGAAGGCTTCTTAGAAACACAAGTTGACTTGCTACACCCTTAGTCTCAATCTGCATACAAGGTGCCCCCAAACACTATTCCCAGGAAAGCAAGGATATTTTACTTGGCTTCCTCTTCAGAGTTGTAGAAGGATCTTTGATCTTTGGTTATTCTATATAAACACACCACATAGCTAGATGTTATTCCTGCTCACGTCTTTCCTGCCACAACTAGAAAATGAGCATTTTAAAAATTAGTTGCCTTATTTGATAGAAAATATTGATGATTACTGCCTCTGAACAACACCTTGCTGTATGCTATTAAAATTAAACTGCTATTAATGTTTAGCTGCTAGCGAAAAATGTGTCAATTCTTGAGACCTATTCTCTTCAGCATCAAATGGCTACTAGTCGCATGATTTCCAGCAACAGAAAAATCAGTCAAACGTCTCCAGAAAGTAACTACCCCACCAAGCATTTCAAGCAATAGAAACCTTATCAATAGGCTACACAATTCAGTGTTTTTCATACAGCTGGAAAACCTGGTTTTGCAGGAAAAGACACAAATTCTGTCCTTATTTTTAGAGAGTAAAAGGGGTATACATCCTTATGAATATCAGTTCAAAGGTCAAAAAAAAAGAGTCCAAACCAAGCAAGTCAAGAGAGAAGAATATCCTTCTAAATTAAAAAAAAAAAAAAAAAAAAAAAAAAACCAAAACCAAACAAACAACAAAACCCCACCACATAACCATAAGCATTACTTCTGTGATTTTTGTGTGAATGCCCTGGAACAAGTATTTTTGATGCCACTGTAAAGTGAAATTTCGCCTTATCTTCACAGTCTTAGGAATCCCCTCTTGGGGATTCTCCCAGATCAGAATTGTGCACATGCACATCCCTGACATCTCCAAAGCCTTTTCAGGGCTCTTTCAAGTGCCAAGATCCTCTCCACCCTTAAAAGGGAAGCTGTCTTTATTCTTTTGAAAACTTAGACAAAAACACTGCACACTCAGCATGTCTTGTTATACAGAGTATTTGTCCTACTTGTGACAGTATAAACACTTGTAAATAATATTTCGGGTCCTGGAACTGTGCCAGATTTAGCACCACAAGCATGAAGAGTTTGTGATCTCTGGTTTTGCCCAACTCCAAGACAACAGTTTCTGATAAATTCCTAAACACCTACAAATACTAAACAGAGCAGAAAAAGCCTGCTGAAAGAGAGCTCAAAACTGCCTGTAATCCTTAGGAAAACGTTCAGATCCCCAATCATTTCCTTGTCACATTATAGCAAAAAAAACCCAAACACACACACACACACACACACACTCCTGGAGCTTGTAAGAGAGGAATTAGGAGAGAGAATGTGGAAAATGCAGCAACAAAATTCTGGTAACTGACCAACAGAAGTCGTTGAATCCCGTGGAGGGCAGGCAAGCAGATGGAGTGGGATACCCAGTGCTTGAGGATTTTAGCTTGAATCAGAGCTGCTGCTCACTCCACAGTTCTGTGCCTGGAGGGGAGCATCCTGCCTGCCAGCCAGGGTCACAGCTGCTCACCCACGGGTGGCAGGGAATTTGTTTTAACGCTGCTCCCTCTCCGGTATGCTCTGTGTGGGCCAGAGCTGGGTGGCAGGCAGTCAGGTAGGATCAGCTTACCACATACACTTATTATATAGTGAAGATGGGTGCAACCGTTGTGCTGTTTACACCATAGCACACTGAAGTACTGACCTAAATTAAGAAAGAAAGCTTTCCAAGCAGAAACTCTTACTCAGCTTTCATCTTTTGTCACTGAACATGCTATCTTTTACATGTAAGAGTTTCTAGAGGAGGTTGACAGTGAGGTATGCCATGTGCAATCAGGTAAGTATCACTTAATCACAAAAATTGGGTCAGAAGAGTACGAAATAATAAAAGAGACTCCCAAATAGCTTTAGAGCAGGGCTATATAGCTATGTAAAAACACATCAACACTTCACATTTAATGCTGTACAACACTGTATTCAAAACATTAAATCAGACAGGCTGTGTACCTGCAGTAACATTTGTTAGTTTTTAAAAGATAAGCTCACAGATGGGAATTAAGAGGAAATTATCAAAAACATGGCATTATACACAAAGCAGACCTAATTTGACCCTAGCAGGGCTGTTCACTCTTCAGTGTGCCTGTTTATATCCAGTTGTTAATCCTTAGGATTTACCATCACAGACAACTACACAGGAAGGATCACGAGTTGCCATTTCTATCCACAATGCTCAGGATAATTACTAATACATTAAGCCAAAAGCACTCAAACCTGGTGTGTGGGAGCCATTTCTGAAACTTGGCAGTGTCTGCATTACTGCTATCCCATATATTCTAAGATGGGGGGAAGCAACCAAACTCTACAAATTCCCTGAAAACGTATCTCAAAATTTTAAGACACTAAAGCAACCAAAAGGCTACAAACCCGATGTGACCTCCACAGTTACCTTATCCCACTTCCCTTTAGCTCTCGGGACAATGATGAGATGATTCAGAAGTCCTTTAAGTAGTTGTGTCCCTCCTCTCCCACTCAAATGGCAGTCAGATTTGTCACCTTGAAGGGGAGATGCAAGGAGCTAACCCTACCTGCTCCACTGCCTGCAAATCTGCGAGGTCTCCTGGGGTAGCCTGCTCCCTGCCTGGCCACACCAGAGCCTAGGGCAAGCACTGAGCAGAGAGTATCCATCACAGAGATGTCTCTCTGGGGAGAGAGGGCTGGAAAAAGTAAAGAGGCTGGTGTGAACCAAAAGGCCGCTATGGCTTCTCGGCACCGCTTGTAACCCTTGGTGGCTGCTGAGGCTTGCACCACCTCACACCGAGATCCCAAGAAATCATCCTCCCCTGGGAACAATTTAAATGCACCGTTTATTAACCACCCTACCAGCTAGTTTATATTGCTGTTTGATCACTGTGCAGCAGGGAAAAAAAAAAAAAACAAAAAAAAACCACACAAAAAAACCCCAACCAAACACCAAAGAAACAACAGGGACACAAAAATATACTCTCATGACACCTTGTTCAGAAGTTTGAACCCTGTAGACTGCATCAAGCTAGAGCATAAAGCAGTCTTTTGTTCCTCCCTGAAACCAGTAAAACAGATATATGTAGGCATCCAAAGAATTAAGATAGAAGGGGGGGGGGGAAAAAAAAAAAAACAAACCACATGCAAAAATTCAGTTTCAAGCTAGGTATAAATGAAAGACTTAAAAAAAAGGAAGACAAGTCTCAGTCAAACCTTGCACTTCTTTTAAAAACAGCAGCATAGTAAATACTGAAATATGTGACAACTCCATATAGCCTTGGATGAGAGTTTTTTCCTCTCAGACATTTAAAGATTGAGTTTTAGGATTGCCCAGTATACAGGCTAAGCATTTTCAAACAGTGGTCAGGTCCTTAACTAAATTCTAAATTAAATACTTCCCTCTCATTCCCCACCCCCAAAACTAGTCACTGTTTATAGGTATTGAAAAGCCTTAAAATGTAAAAGCATTTCAGTACTGTGGCATACTTGGAAGAAACCAGGGATGTGCTGTGTACCTACTGATGCAGTTCCTTTTAAAAATCACATCACAGATTTCAGCTGACTCTGCTACAGCTCAGAAAATAAAAGTTTGCAGTTATGGAGCCACCAAATGAAGTAGTTCGATCGAATGCACCAAGGGCACCAAAGGCATGACCAAGGACACAAGCTAGAGCAAAAGAGTTTTTGCAAGAATGACTGCAATGTACAACTTAACTGAGTAGCAAAGCAGAGTATCAAACAAAGAACTTTGTCTCAAAAAAGCCTGCCACTTTAAGACACAAATCTAAGAAAACACAAATTGGTAAGAATTACAACTTTGAGTGCTCTGAGCATGAAATATATAATTTTGTTACAACCCATACTATTTATGCATCACCTCCAACTATAGCTACCAAGCCTGGATTGTAACACACCCAGGAACAGGAAGACAAGATAGCAAGAAAAGCCATCAAACAGGAGGACAGAAGAGGGCATCAATTAAAGCAAGGCACACCCCACTTTACAATCCTCCATCTCTCTTATGCACATCAGCCCCAAATAGCCTTACATTTGCCTGCAAATCTGACCCATTTGTTAATCTATTCAGCAGGATCATTTCACACAATTGCACTAATATTAGATACAACATACCACACCTCAACATCCACAAATACGTTTTCAACTGAAAGTAAAATATTTAAGAATGGCTAGCTCTACAGAAGTGCTAGGCTATGACCGTAGTAAATTTCGGCCCCTGCTTTGCCATATCAAATAAACCAACCAACCATACCCCAAAACAACCCCAAAACCAGCTTCCAAACCTGTTTGGAATATGAACCCGAGGAAACACATCCCTTGCAATTCACATCCAATGAGATATCATTCCATATCAAAGACCTTAAATTAATCTTATCCTGAGATCAGGCAGCCTCAATTATTGATTTAAAAGGGAAAGAAACAGAAATGCAATTTACTTTTCAGCTTTGGTGTTTCTGTAAGGATCAGACTTATCTTACTCCTTACTTATTATAAAACCAATACTACACATCTTCAGTACTGAAAGGCTGTTAAATTGGACAGTTTCTAATTAATATACTAATAATATTCAATGATTCAGGATGTATATATCCAAGGGAAAACTCAATTATTGTGCATGATGCAAACTAAAATACAAGGTCTTCATTAATTCCTGAAATTACCTGAGTTTAAAAAAGGAAAATACTCCCCCCCCCCCCCCCAGTTTCTAATGAAATATCTAATTCAGATCACAAAAATTCAACAGGCAACAATTTTCCAGGGCAATTCTCAGTCCTTTATAAAAATATTACAACCAAGTATAGAATTTATTTTTTAAAAAACCCTAACTTAACGCTGGTTTTCACTATTTGCTGAATTCCTAACTCTGTGCAGCCTTCCTGCACAGTGTGTAATATACAATAAAAACTGTGGCATCTATTCACATGGTATTTTTCATCTTCAAAGCATCTTATGACCAGGAAGTCGTGACACAAGCAAGCAGCTTCCTACTTTACAGGCAGGGAAATTGAGGCATACAACAAGGCAATGACAGAGACAAGAACATTATTTGGTAGCCAAACATGCTGCCTCTGGAAATGATGATTCATTTCATCACCTTGCATTAGAGCTAATAATATAATTCTGTATCACATTCCATATCCTCTGCATTTTAGACCGAAACCTAATACCCTTGAACCACACAATACCAGTGTTGGGGTTTTTTTATATTTCTGCAACACAGATAAGTAATGGTCTTAGCTTGTGTAACGAATTGTCTTAGCTCTCAATTTAAGGAGGTATTAAAGTCACTCTTAAGGTTGACAATGCAATGCTTTGCAGTAATATTCTATTGTTATCCAAGTTATACCTATCATATTACACTACAAATGTTTCAACATAGGCAATATATCTTCCTACAACATGGAGAGCATGTACACCTGATGTGCTGTATAAACAAGCCTCCAAAAAGGAGCTCGTAGCACACCCTTCAATGACTTTTCTACACAGTGTGGTTACACAGCAGCAATATACATCAATACAGAAAATATATCACAAGTATGCGATGCAGGTTTTTTTTTTTTAAACACTGTGTGGGATGGAAAATAATTACAACAATATAATTTACATCCTGAACTAAAATATATTGTTAGAAGTTAATTTTAGTTAGCTGAAAAAGTAGCAACGTAAAATTTTTAGAATAGATTAACTACCAAATTTCAAGTACAGATGACAGAAGTAACTGCTTCCACCCACAGACCTGATGTGTTTTAACCACAAATGAACCTTTCCTGTTAAATATAGAATCCCTCCAAACAGTTTTAAATGGAGTTCTTGCATCTTACCTAGCGGGAACACTGATGCTGCACCTTCCCAGATAGCTGAAAAGAAATCAGCTGGTAAAACAGATATTTTTGCTGACTTGATGCAACTTTCTAAACAACAGAAGACAGCCTGCACAACAGCACATTTTCATGTTCTGATAAGCAGTATTCTGAGCTGGTGTATAGTTACAGCTCTCCATTTAATGCAAAGTATATCTCAATAATAAAATAATTCAGCAATTCTTGCGCATCAAGTTCCACAAACCCTTTAATAGTTCTTCAGTAGGCAACATGCTCACTTATTGCACCTGAAGATTAAGGTAAGCAAAAGATTAAGGTAAGCAAAGAACTTACCAGAAGACAGACACACGGAAAGCTTGGTACCCCAAATCCTTTTCATATGCAGCTGTTCAATAAAGCTAGGTTCCACAGAATCGCAGAGTAAAGTTTAATATTTGCCTACAGCCACACCCAAACACATGGAGTTAGGTTCTTGCCACTCACCCGCCGCACACACTACTCCATTTATATTGTACTGGCTTTTGGCCATAAATATGAGAAAGGAAGTTATGATGCAAGGTAGGTGGAGTACATTAGGAAGCACCGTGGGATTGTTCAGATTATTCCCAGTCTATATAAAGCACAGCCCTTTTCCCTTTCAATTGTATCACAGAAAAAAACAAGACTCAGCCTTTACTCTCAAAGGCACTGTAGTTTCTGCTTGTATAGATTGTTTTAAAAAGATAAGTTTATTATGTATTTGTATTTTATATTGGGTAAAAAGCTCATTTTTTTCCAGAACTTAAAAATACAACATACATCTACAGGAACTTTTGGGGGGATGGGGAAAGAGCTGAAAACAGCAAAGAGGAAGCTTTCCCTCCCTTTTCTTTTTTCTCCTCCCTCTTATCCTTAATGTAGAGAGAACAGAATGAAAGCCATCTGGTTTTGGTATACACGAGTTAAACTGGGCAAACACTATAGCACAAACGCCACATTACATCTCACTATCAGGCATGCATCTGAATCATCATTAGGGGAACCTGAAGAGTTGCAAGAAAAACAGTCTGAGTTCTGGCCAAGCATTATCACCTGAAACTAATGGATGTAGGTTTGCAACCCTCCTACTTCATGGACTGCAGTCTTGAAGACAGAACTCAGTACTTCAGACCTACAAACAAGGAAGATACAATTACAATCTTCCTGTCAAACCTTACAGAAAAATCATCATCATCTTAGTTTAGCCATTCTGGTTTTGTGAAACCTGTTAGGCATAGCTTAGGACTGGTAAATACAGGATTCCTAACTTACATCCTCCCTCTTTCAGTAGGGTATAACACACAAGGTCAGTAAGAGGAGATCTTTCCAAACAAAGACTTTTCCTTTGAACCCAAGTTACATTTTCTAATGATGTTTTTCTTCAGTTGTTCTCATACACCAGAGAAGAGCAGAAGTCCTCCCATAAACCAGGCATCAGAAAGGTCTATGTAAATGAAACTCACTATTTTGGATGAGCACTAAACACAGGAGCAACACACCCCCCACTCCTTGGCTGCACTACCACATATCACTGAAGGCAAGAATGTCTCAAAACAAGTGTGTTTTTTAAAGCCACTTACACTTTTGGACTGCAGGTATCTATTGCAACACCAACATCAAGCAGAAGAAAACATTCTAAAAGATATGGGCCAGTTTGTTTGGGTTTTTTAACATCTATAAACTAAATTGGTTTCACTAACATACATAGGAAACCACAGCCTTTTACTGAGAACCCACATTCACCAACAGATCGTGTACAGCACATTCTGCTCAGACCCGAATCCACACTTGGATTTGCACCAATTCAGTTAAACAACTGCAAGAATTCAGAGTAAACAAACGCTGAATACATTCTTCATATTGTACTACATGGCAGCATGTTCACAGATCTCTTCCCATTGCCATCTGTGAAGTTCCTCTCCTCCACACATTCCTCCTAAAGTACTCTTCCCCTTCCTCATGACTCCTTACAGCCACCGCTTTTTCACTGTTGGACACTTCACCAAAACCCGCTGCAAGCTGACTGGCAGAAAAACAAGCCTACACACAGTGTTTAGACTTGTACTGTTGGTGTCCTACTTGGAGCTTGCTCCTCCTCCTCCTGGAGTCAGAAGGAGAATTGGGTCTTTGGAGGCTTGTCCCTTCAGGCAGACTCTGCCTCATGTTCTGTGTTCAGCACTGAGTTATGAACACTTGGTACACAAGGAGAAAGCAATTAATAATATTTTCAGGCAGACAAAAAACTGATACTGTGTAATTCTTATGGTAGGTACTATGCTCTGGAAAATTGTAACAGTGTAACTCACATAATATAACCATGGGGGTTCACAGATGCTCCTCCCATTCTTCAGTATCACAACACACATTGCAGCTTACAAGAGCCTAAAGCCAAGGCAACATAAAGTATAATGAGCGGGGTTATGAACTCAAGCTTAAGCCTGAATCATCTCAATTTTCTGTACTTGCGTCAAACCCAGAGGCAGTCTTTGTACTAAAAAAACCCAAACCCAATAATAACTAAATAAAGGAAAATAAAAAAAAGAAACTAAGCTGCTCTTGCTACTCTAGCGCTTTGCAGCCCCCCGCATTGGGAATAAGTGTTACTGTTCTCTTAGCCTCCTAGACGGCTAGAGGCCAATAAGAAGCCATACTAAGTGCTGCCTGTCGGAACACTTAGGAATTACACCTCTCAAAATAGTCCCTTAAAATGCATGTATATTCCTACAATGAAAAGAAAGCCTACTATTTTCCCTAGTAATCAAAAAAGATTTTGTACAAGCCAGGACTCTTCATAGAGAAAAGCAAAGTGATACCCGCATCAGGGATGAAAGTGTATTTAACACAACCTACACCTAAACAAAACAGGCTGTCACAGTAAACTGTCACCTATACCACCCACTGCGCCTAAGCCACCAACTCTTTACTGGGTTTAAAAACACTCATTTTCTACCTTTCCAGCCAATGTATAATAACCTCACCAATAAAAAGACAATCAACATTCACACCAGGAAGCACTCAGCCTCAGCCCACCAGAACATGCAAGTCAAATCCACATTTATCATGCAACAAGTACCTGACCCATACATCAAGCAAATTCATTAAGTTCTATTTACTGGCAATAGGGAGCTGTGCTCCTGGGAGCACCCATTGGGGAGGCAGAGTATTGAAATAGAACAGAGGATTTTTTGTTTTTCTGTGAGCTCAGTTAAAAAAAAAAAAAAAAAAAAAAAAAAAAAAAAAAAAAAAAAAAGAACAAGAAAGCAAAACCTTTGTGATTTAATAGTAACACAAAAATCACGTAGCAAGTCACAAAAAAAAAACCACACCAAACCACACAGAACACTGGTTTACTCCAGTATCAACTTCATAGAGCTCAGTGCCAAACGCTTTTGAAAATACTATTCCTTACAACACATTACTCACTCCTCCAGGAAAATAGCTGCCAAAATCTGTGTCCTACCTCCATGAAACAAACCTATGACAAACCAAAACACTCATGCCATGCACAGGTAGGTCAGAGGACACACCATTTTTGGCACCTGAAACAACGTCACATTTAACCACACAGGTAATTCCAGTGTGGGGAAAGTCACAGGATACACTGTCTGGGCTGTTCTGTGATACAGGTTGACCAGCCTGGTATCCTAAGGCACATTACTACAATGAGAAATCTGGGGGTATTTTAGCACACCACAGGTTGAACATCTCCTTTATGCAGCAACCCCAGAACATGCTGTTCAGCCATTTACCTTCAGGATAAGCAAAAAAAGAAACAAACCCAAAACAGGAATTTCAGACCGCACAGCACAAGTCTGCAGGCTTTACTGCTTTCAAGGTCAGCAGTGGCCTCCTATACACACACCTCCAGGAAGCAGAGACTTCCCGCTACATGAGCTTCTCAGTCTCACCTGGATAAATATAAGCTTGTGTTAGTTCAACTTAATCCTCGCAGTGACAATACATGAAGGTAGTGGATAAATTCCCCTCTACCACCATCTCTCAAGACAACATGGAGATTAAAGAAAGCATAAGGTATCATCTGACCGCTACAGCTTAGTCGACCTAAATGGTGCGCTGACAGAAGCAAGCTATGCTCTTCTCAAATCCCCCCACTACGTCTGATTATGCAGCCACATGGCAAATCACTTCCACCATATAAGCCTTTCTGTTGCTTTTTGCCTTTACTGTAAGTAGCATTTCCTCCCAACCGTCATCCAACTCCTCACTAAATTCAAGGGGAAGCTACAAAAGACACGTAGCTTTGGGTGGGGATTGAAACCAAAGGAACAAGACCATCTATTTGAACAGCATCCTACTATTAAATTAATTAGGTGTAATGTCACACCATACCTTTGCAGAAGGGTAGCTCTTTCCAATTCACCACCAGTTCTGGGTGGGAACACTGCTGTTGCAATGGAAACATCCCTTGAAGAATGACCTTCACCTTTCAAACCCAGATGACTGCCAGTACACTGAAAGCGAGCAGCCCGTGCATGGCAATGCCAAAGACAACTGGCATGAAATTCCTATGTTTGGTGGTCATATCTATATGACAATAGCTGAAGTTATTATTCAAAACAATAAAGAAAGGGTTTTATCCTACCATTTCTGGGCTGCAAACACACAGGAAGTTTAGTAAGTCTGCAGATACTGAAAAATATTATGTTACAGCAGCACGTCTTCAGCTGGCACAGAAGACACATGGAGCTTTTGCATCAAAACAGATGGATCTTTTTTGTTATTTTGCAAGTTAAAAGGGACCAGTGGGGCTACTTGAACACTGGAAACAATGGATGGTCAGATGGGTCTTAGTCAACCACATTATAATGGGATATATACAACTACAGCAGAACTAGGAAGAAGAAATCGTGCCTCATCATTCAGCCCACCAAGCATCCTGCTTGATCTAACCTTTGCTCCTGTAATGCAGAGCTCTACATGCTTTAACTTTCATCAGGAAAATATTCAGCTACTATAACAGAAGCTGCAGAAGGGTGGCAGATTGTACAGTTGATCACTGTCTGACAGGTTTTATTTAAGTGCCACTCACTCCCCAGAGCTCTTTCTAGGCAATACCATGCTCTACGCAGACACGCCAGCTGAGAAGCGAAGGAGGGGAGAGCAGTTCATCAGAGTGAGGCAGCAGGCTTGTTGGGTGGCTCTGCATGTTGTCACCAGAAAAGTCATGACGGTGATCTTCACAGATGGTCTTGTATAAAATGGTGGTCACTGAGGTGATGTCACAGCTATTTTAAATGAATTAAACAAAGTAGAGTTTAATCTAATCGACGTTTATATTATGCCAGGCTCCTCAACAAGCTTCTTCTGACCCAAGAACTCCAGAAACTGTCCCTCTCAGCCTGTTACTATTTGCCACTCATTCAGCTTCCCTGAAGGTAGAAAACTTCTCCAACTC